TCATTTAATTTGTAGGTTTACAAATGGGCCAGGCTTTTTAAGAGAAAAGGGTAGAATTGTCTTTTTATTTGACATTTTTAAGCTGGCCCAACGAATCTGGGCCAGCCTTGGGCCTAATCTAAAATAGCTATTTTTTATTAAGTATTAAAACCCAAACTAAAATATCTAATATCTCACTTCCTAATTAGTAAACTTAATTATGTCTAATACCTAATTTTCCTTATTTTAAACCAGGAGCCTGTCTTGCATTTTGACCGCATTCTTCCAACCCTGGCTTGGCTACTTGGTGCGGAAAGTCACACCTTATTGCTTGCACGTTGTCCTTATTCCTTGTATATGAATTCATCAGAGCTACATAAAATTTATAATAAAAAAATTCATGGCCGTAGAAAAATGTATAAAAGAAAGAAATTGCACTACAATGAATTTTCCTAATAACATATTCTTAAATATAAGATAACAATGTATATATGACTTTATATATTATTATTTATTATTTATTATTTATTGGGGTCATGAGAGTGAGACATTGTATGAAGGACATGCATGTAACTTTACAGTCTGTCATATTCATTATTCAGGCCAATGTGGATTGTTAGTTATCCATTCAGCCCACATCTTGGACCCAGTTTCATTTAAAGGAAATAACAGCTAGTTTGAACTTCAAACTAGCTGGTATTAAAAAAAATATAAAATAGCCGGCCTAAACCGGGAATTGGAAGAACCGAACCGGATGTTAGAGGTTTCGATTAGTTAACTTCTTTTAGTCATATCAGCCAAAAACAAACCGAATTGGATTGAATGCATAGGGCAGTTCTGGTTATGATTTTAGGCAATAATTGAGCCAAATCGAATCGCACCCATCTCTAGTTTGAAGCGAAAAAAGTAATGAAAGGACCAAAAACTCCTTCTACCTTAAAACACTGGTTTAGGAGCTATTTTATTAAATTAAGTTGATATGTTTACATGATTATCATGCAATATAATTATATTGAAGGAGTGAGAAATCGAATAGATTATCGACCTCGGGAGGAGAAATGAATGCTCTAATTACTTGAACTTACATATGTTAAATTGTTAATGAAGCCCCGATTATGGATGTACTCACCCCTCAGAAGAGAAGGAAATAATCTACCGAACAAATGCACCAACATTTCTGTCAAGCATTCTTATCTTTTCACTCCAAAGATATGTAATTGCCTTTGTGGTCTTACAATGCATAAAGAAAACTCATAAAGCTATAGACTCAATCCTCAAGGTTCATGCCGCTTAATTATATAATATAATCCTGTAATATTATTAGTTATAATTAAATGGAGATTTGAAAAATCCACATAAATACTCTCAATTGTTGCCAGCCTCAAAGGCACATAAACAGCATGCAATTTCTATGAAATATTCAATAAGGCCTTTCTCCAATATAATTCCCAGGAGGGTCATAGTTGCAAACCATGAACACACCCCTACCACCCAGACAAGTTACTCTAGCACACCCAACTCTTCTTGTGGACCTCCACACAATCTGTGTATAATGCCCACATTCCTGCCCTCTAGCACAAGAATTAGACCAGTAATTGTACCACCTGCTCTCCGAAGCCCATGCCGTCACTGCCTGAGCCGGCGTCCACCCGGTGCCACTACCCCAGAAAATGTTCTCTCCATAAGGGCCGTTTGAGTGCCTCAAAGCGCAGTCGTATCGCCTTTGGTTTGCATACCATTGTGCATACCTTGCCAACTTCGCATCCCAAACCAATGGCTTCATTTTGGTGGCTGACCGGGCAACATTTTGAGGAACCAAAAATTGGTTAGCCTGGCTTAGGTACTGGCTGTGTCTTGTTGCAGCATTTGTGCTGGAGATAAGGACCAGAAGAATTGTGGTGGTGAAGTAGTAGTACAATGCTGCAGGCATTTTGTTTTGTGAAATTCCAAATATTCTTTTATTTGAGAGAATTTGGGGAAGTTTGTGTTATTAGTGGGTCTTTGTGTTTATTTATAATTTGGAGGCCGCAGTAGTTGAATTTTTGGGGTATAAAGTGTCAACTCTGGGGTGGCACCCATGTTCGATGATGATTGCCCCACATTTGTTTTTGTGGGGGACAAATTAAGCCACAAAGGTTTCAATTAATAACCTACTAGAGCATGTGCTAATTGATTTTATTTTTTATTTCATTTTTAGAATTAAGAAAATATAATACGGGTAGTTTTCCATAAAAGTAGGACCTATTATCTTATTTTGTTTTTAATTTTAATTTTTTTTAATATGGAAAAATATAAATTTACTATATTATTCTCATTTAATTAATAATTTCAATTCTTAATGTTTGAATTAACCAAAGACATTTTCTGGTATTTTGAATGTTTCACCATTCTCTTCCTTTTGCTTTACATATTCTAGCCTCTCCGTATGTGCTTCCGCGCCTGCGAGAGTTTTTTTTAAAAATAAAATTTAAAATTTATTTTAGAATTAAAAAAGATAATGGGTAGTTGTGTTCCATAAAAATAGAATCCATTATCTGATTTTCTCTTTTTATTTTTTTTAATATGAAAAAAATGTGAATTTACCATATTATCCTCGTTTAATTAATAATTTCAATTCTTAATATTTACATTAACCAAAGATATTTTCTGGCATTTTGAATGTTTCACCATTCTCTGCCTTTTGCTTTATATATATAGATATATAGATTAAATAATTATTTCTCCAATTTCATATAATTTCAGGGTGGGTTGCCAAAATAATTTATACTCTAAATTTATGATAGATTCTTCTATCGCATTTAAAGGAAGAAACTGATGTTGAATATTTTCAATTAATTAATATTTATGTTAACGGATTAGAACCCTGGAGAGAGGAGGCATTAAAATAAGAACAAAGATTTATTCTCTTCTAGAAAATTTTATGGTTTTTTAGGTTTTAGACATAAAAAAAATTTCACTTTTGGAAAAAGCCAAAACTTTTTCAAAAAAGACAAAAAAACCGCTCAACTTTCAAATCAAAGACATGCAAATGTATTGGATTCCTTAGGAAATCTAAAAATAAATAAGGGCATTTTTGTCCATTTTTGCTTCTTTTAAAAATTTTCTCTCTCCTTTTGCTTTTTCCAAAATGTCCCAAAATTTTATTTGATTAACAGTTACTTACCAAAGTGAAACCTATTTGTATGAAGACATGTTCAAAGGTTTATTGGTGTCAGTATAATATGGATTTTTTATTTAAAAAAGTGTATATCAACATGTTGGTTTTGAGATTTTAAAGGCATGTGCGAAACTTAAATTGAGGTCTTCATATAACAAGGAAAAACTAAATATAAAAAAACTAAAAAATTAGCATGACTTAATGTTATAAAACAACTTGTTTTAGCTAAATTCATCATCAATTAGCATGAAATGACAATCACAAATTCATAAAATTTTAAACTTTTCATTTTGAGAAAGATAAATAATAAGTAAGTTCAGTACAAACAATAAGCAAAGAAAAATGAATTTTTCAAGAGCTCCTCTTTGAGATTGAGCCAATTGCTCAATTTTTCATATTTGTTTTGTACATCCAGAATTGCATTGCCTAACAAAGAAAAATTCCAAAACCCAGCAAGTAATATCCCATATATATAGTTTACCGTTATTTCATGGATTGATGTCAATATTTTATATGCAAGCATGATAACACCATTTTCTCCAATAACACAACCTCTTCTCCTAAGACAATCGGGTAGTTGGCGAGACATGTGGGATAATAAAGCTCTAGTTACTCTACTGATTTGAGACCAACAACCCCAGGGAGGGTCTTTGCTGTTCTTTCTTTGGTTTCAACATTTTGTATTGTTTGGTGTCCTATAAATTGGTGCTTTCATTGAGACAATATTATGTACTTAAACAAGTTTCTCTTCTTCGGGTATCTAAGTTAATTATCAGCTTCTTGAAGCTTCTTTGGCATGATGATTTCTATAGATGACTTGAGCTCTTTTTGGCCCCTTGTAGCCTCCCCTCGTGCATGTATTGATGGTTTATAAGACTCCAAGATACAACCCCTGATACTCAAGCTCAAGGTCCGCTATAAACATATTCATAGTTGGATAAAAGTTTCTAAGTCACAAAATTGTTGCCCAAAAATAATAATATCGAAAGTAGAGAAAGTAGAAAGTATGAAAGTAAGAGAAGAGAGAAATCAGATTGTGGTGTTTTTCAAATGTGAATGAGTGACCTTTTATAGGCATCCAACAATTATAACATCCACATACAATTTAAACCAGAAAATTAAGGCAATAAATAAATAAATAAACTGAAAATTCAATTGGTATAACCTCATATAAATAGGAAAACAGCCAAATGAATTTAAAAGAAAATTTAAAAACAAACGTTTAAAATTTTAAAAGCCTTAAATATCAACAAAAACTTATTTACCCGAACCCACCACATGGCAACCTTTTCACTAAAACACCCAAAATGGGGGTTGAAATTATAAAAAACCCAAGCACTATTTAAACATATAAACACACCCAAAACCCATCATTACACACACTCAAAACCCATTTATAAACACACCCAAAAAGTTGACTTTGGGGTTGATTTTGGGTGTGTTTCTATGTTTAAATAGTGCTTGGGTTTTTTTTATAAATACATGTCTAGGATTGGGTTTATTTATAAATTTGTATTTATAATATCATCATCACCATCATTGCATACAGATGGCAGTGGTTGCTGAGAATGCCTGGACAAGCATAAGCCTGCATCTGTGACAAACATCGAAAGTGGGTTTCCATTTATTTGTGGTGTGCCTATGAGATATATATTTAATACAAATTTATAAATAAACCAAATCCTAGACATATATTTAATTCATCAATATATCAGACTGGAGGACTTGTTCGTTTGACAACGAAGTATTCCATCTACCTTTCTATAGCCACTGACCCTTCTGCCCTCATCTACTTGTTCCTCATATATAAGTAAGTCACAGTATCTACAGCTAGCTAGCACAAAGCCAAGACCATCTAGCAACTATGGTAGGAAACCCCAAACCCCAAACTCACCATGTTGCCGTTTTGGCCTTCCCTTTTGGGAGCCACGCAAGCGCTCTTCTTGACGTTGTTCTCAAACTAGCTCCAGCTTCCCCACACGTCCTCTTCTCCTTCTTCACCACTTCTAGAGCGAACACCTCCCTACTCTCCAAAGTCTCGCTTTCGAGCTTCCACAATGTTGAGCCTCACGACGTGGCGGATGGGTTGCCCGAGGGTTTCATGCCCTCAGCCAACTTTGAGGAAGCTATCGGGTTGTTTTTTAAGGCGGCGGCCGGTAACTTCATGAGGGGTTTGAAGAACGCCGAGGCGGCTACGGGTTTGAAGGTCAGGTGTTTGGTGACCGATGCGTTCTTTTGGTTCGGGGGAGATATGTCGGAAGAGATCAAAGTGCCCTGGGTGCCAGTTTGGACTAGTGGACCACGGTCACTTCTTGTTCATGTAGAGACTGACTTCATACGGGAAAGGGTTGGAACCGTTACCGGTAAGCAATCAATTTCATTTAATTGCATTTTGTGAGCATTTATATGTTTCTGAAATGTTTTTTTTTTTTTTTTTTTTTTGGCAACTGAAATTTAGATATTAAGTTCATACATTTTATAGTTAAACCAATTTTGGCGAAAGGAAAATAGATCCATTGTTATGTATATATTCTAGTATATGCCTAGTGGTTTGCCTGAAGAATCATTGATATTTGAGTACTCTTTTCTCCATATTCTTTCTACTTTTTATATTTTTTGGATACAAACGATATTCTACTTTAAGGGTGGGGGATTCTAACTTGATTGCATAATGAGGAGCACATATCCTCTCTAACCAACTTGACTAAGTCATTGTCTGCCTTATTCTTTGTACTCTAGTCCAAAACACTACGTGTGATTGAAAATGGAAAATATCCAATATTACCTTCCCTCCATTCGTATTAACAATTTCAAATAACAACTTGATCATAGCGAAGAGCTAGTAATTGTAATTCTGTGTTATTTCATTTTTCTCTATTATCCTACATTTACTCTTATTTTTCTTCTTTCAACCAATTCACTTGGGCCTCCTGCATGTCCTAAACCCTATTATATCTAATATAAGGGCCTAAATTATATTAAAAAAAACTCTATATGAAATAGACTTTAGAAACACACCCAAAGCCCATTTACAACATAACAAAGAAGGTTTTCACTTGTTATAAATTACAAAATTGTCATCAATTTCTTTAAACAAGACCAACCCCAAAACCTCATAAAAATATCCAAAACACTCAATAAGACATCAAAGTTAAAAAAAAATAAAATTAAGCCTCTCTCTCTCTCTCTCTCTCTCATGTGCGCACCTACTGAGTGGGCTACCGCCCAATATAAGGCCCCCAAATTTGGACCGGAACTGTACGTAAAACCCAAAAAGGCCTCTTCATCTATATATATAAAGCAAAAGGTAAAGAATGGTAAAACATTCAAAATATCAGAAATGCCTTTAGTTAATGCAAACATTAAAAAATGAAATTATTAATTAAATGAGGATAATATGGTAAATTCACACTTTTTCATATTAAAAATAAAATTAAAATGAAAGAAAAATCAGATAATGGATCTTATTTTTATGTAACACAACTAACTATTATCTTTTATAATTCTAAAATAAATTTTAATTTTAAAAAAGAAAACCTCTCGCAGGCGCGGAAGCTCGTGTGAAGAGACTAGTTCTTACGAAAGAAGAAAAAAAAAAAGACCCCCATAATTCATTTTAACCCAAAAAGGCCCCCATAATTCATTTAAATTTTTCTCAACTTGCAGCTTCTTCTGGCTCATGAAGGACTTTAATTCCTCTAACCATTGCCTCTTCTTTACTACTCTTTTTTTTTTTTTTCAGGAGGTGGAAAACAGGCGCTTGACTTCCTTCCCGGATTTTCAAGATTTCAGATACGTGACTTACCGGATGGAGTAGTAACAGGAAACTTAGATTCACCCATAGCAACCCTGCTACACAAAATGGGACAAAAACTGCTCAAAGCAACTGTTGTTGCTGTTAACTCTTTCGATGACGTAGACCCTGAAATTGAGAATGCGCTCAAGTCAAGGTTTCAGAAGTTGCTCAACTATGGACCGATGAGCCTAATATCAAGATCACCACAATCGCCCGAAGACGAAAGTGGTTGCATAGAGTGGCTGGACAAGAACAAGCCTGCATCTGTAGTATATATTGCCTTTGGAAGCGCGGCAACCCCACCACCTCATGAGCTAGAAGCCCTAGCTCAAGCGTTGATTGAAACTGGGTTTCCATTTATTTGGTCATTTAGGGGCAACATAGAGGATTTCTTGCCTAAAGGGTACAACAAAAGTAGCCTAAATGGGAAAATAGTTTCATGGGCTCCACAAGTGCAGGTCTTGGGACATGCCTCAGTTGGGGTTTTTGTGACACATGCTGGGTGGAATTCGGTTATGGAGAGTATTTCTGGTGGGGTGCCTATGATTTGCAGGCCATTTTTTGGTGACCACACACTCAACATGAGGAACATAGTGGCTGTTTCGGGAATTGGAACTGAGTTTGAGGGAGGGGTCATTACAAAAATTGAAATGGTGAAGGCCTTGGAACTTGTTTTGAAGCATAAAGGACAGCAAATGAGAGACAAAATCGGGGCCCTTAAAATTCTTGCTCAACAAGCGGTTGAATCTAATGGTAGCTCTAGCCAAGCTTTCAATAGCTTGGTGGACATTGTCACCAAGTAATATGTATCAAGTAGAAAGCTTGGAGATCAATTAGAATAAAATTTAGGGATTCTTAGATCTAGGTCCAAAACGATTAGTTGTTAGGCCATCCCCAATGGGAGCTCTAAAGTGGGGTGCACAACCATTGGGCTGCATTATATAGCAACTAAAGAAAAAAAGTCATCCCCAGTGGTTCAGTTTTGAGGCCTTAAATGATTGAGCCCCACTGGAGCTATACCCAGATATATGTTCACTGTTGAAGCCCCTGAAACCAAATGAGGCCCACATAAAGAAAAAGCTGCCAACCTATATGTGTCGTTGGTGACTTGCCTTGTGACTACAGCTCATGACAATCTTTTCTTGACCAATAATTGCTTCTCTTTGTTTTATATTTTATTTAATGTGACCAATGAAAGGGGATGTGCTAGATTGTTTTTGTATTTTTTGATTGATGAGGCTTTGTTTTTTTTCAAGGCAACAATCAAGTTTTTGATTTTTTTTTAAACTATCACACACACCAAAAAAAAAAAAAAAAAAAAACTAACATGCTATAATATACATTAAAGCAAATAATTTTTTTTTTAAATAAAAATAACACATATATAAAATTATATCAAATATAGAGCCATTCTGTTGTGAGAGTGATTCCTTTAGAACCTCAAAGATTCCATCGGGGTCCTAAATGAGGCTCTATCAACCTCTTTTAAAGTCCCAACCATTGGTGATGGCCTTATTGGGTGTAGTCCACTTGTTTTTTGTTTAGATGTAGGTCATTTGACATTTATTACTTTTGTTGTTGTGTCGATTTTACCATTTGAGATCAATAAGAAAAACACGTTAAAAATATAAATTTAATGCATTATTTCCTTGTAATTGAATTTCAAAATTTAAATTTTGTATTCTTTCCTTGATAATATTTACCTAATTTAATCAATTATAAGTAAATACCCACATATTATATTAATCGATCAGACAACCACCCACATGAAATTATGTACCTGAAATACAGGTAAAAAATGTTATTATTAGCAATGAAAAAACCTTCGTGATAAATCGTGTTACCTATAAGTTAGGAACGTAAATTAGAAGACTACCTATAAGTCAGCGACAAAAATAGATAAATAAAATTGTATGTTACCTAAAAAAAAAAAAGGTTACATAAAATACTAACACATTGTCGAAAATATGAAAAACCACATATATACCTATACAGTAGGCAATAGGACAATATACCTACACCATAGGATAATATATCTACAAGAGTATATAATAATAATAATTAATATATCTACATAATTATTTTAGATCTCGTAATTATTGTGTTATAAATTAATTTTTACAAGATTTATACTTCAGGGATATAATAGGAATAACTAGATAATTTAAGAAATAATAATAATAGATCTACATAATAAAATACCCAAAAAGATTAATATAATCCTATTTGGCAGAAAAGTCAAAGAACTTACATCAATGACAACAAATGCGATGATTAAATCTAACTTATATTCTCAATTTTGGACTTATTTTCTTATTAAAACCCAAATGTGAGGTTAATGTATCCTATTAATAATTAGAGATGTTCTCATTTTCAGATACTTTTTGTGGTCACTTTTCTTTCTCACTTGCACCCCAATTTTCGCTCAATTCTTGTTCATGGTTTAACATAGTTCATAAGGCACAGGCTGTGAACCATTGTTGGTATAAGGATTCCGTTTCATTTGCCAACTGGAAGCTTAATAATTAAGGAGCATGAATATGCATATGCACATTTTATTAAATTTAGTAAATTTAGTGATCACTAGCCTCTCTGCGAGAGGCCTTTATCACTTGTGCTACGCACAACTTAAAATTTTATTTTGTTTATTTCTAAAAATCCAAGGAACATGTACCAGAACGATATAGTATGCGATAAGGAAAAGAACACTCATGATAACTAAGAGACTAATAAGACAACCAAGCTCCCTGTAGCAACATAAACAAAAGAGAATAAGCAAAACCCCAAGCCATATTGTACCATCGAGTGGAAAAACAAAAACAAAATAATGATTTGAAATATGGTTTGTGGAGATTTCATAACCTTGAGAATAGGGGTGGGTGCGGTTAATTATAAAATATGATATGGCTTTAATCTCAACTGTGTAAAAATCTGACCCAAAACCCTAAATAAGATCAATTAGAATAAATTTGATTGATTTTCATTAAACTCGAATGCGAGGTTCATGTATCTATTAATAATTAGAGATGTTCTCGTGAACGGGCAGTGAAAAGGGCGTTGACTTGCATGCCAATAGTCAACAAGTTCCTCAACGTTGGGAACTCTAGTAATTTCTTAATGATAACAATCGTCGTTAGAATGGGTGGACAAGCGTCACCCTCAATCTGCAGCACACCAACTACACCACTATCTCATCATGAGTTACCAGTATTTGTTCAAGCATTAATTGAGGATTTCCTTAGAGCATCCACGGTGGTTGTATGTAAAATCAGGTGTATATCAGATTTACACCCCTCACGAGTCACGGCTTGAAAGTGCTGCAATGGTATGTATATGGCTGCACATTTACATTTTCCATTTTTACAGATGAACGGTTGAGATGGATTGTAATTCAAAATGGAAAGCCCATATTTCATGCAATTTGAATTGTACTTTCAATGGACTGAAATATTAGCAAAAAATACCTAAAATGTTTAAAACAAATTATGATTTTCTACATATATATGTTTTTTTTTATAAATATAAACGATAATCTACTTTAATTTAATCTAAACTACGGGAAGGGGGATTCAAAGTTGGGTGCAGAGTGGGAGCACATATATATGTTTATGTTACTTGTACGTCAGATCATAGGTTCTCCAAATTTAAATTTTTTTAGGTCCATTTTTTTGGAAAAATAAAATAGACCTCACACACACAAAATTATTTTAAAAAGTTAACACTGTTATGAAACTAAAAGAAATCATAGAGAGAAGTGGCATGATAAAGAGAAAGCTTCACAACTTACTAATTCTTAATTCCATCTATGGTAGATCCATCTATTTATAGGCTTACAAGATAGAAATTAAATACCATATTTGCAACATACATATAAGTTACAAACACTAACTATAAATTTTTAGTGTGTAGGTTACATAGACTTAGAAGAGTGGAATGCTAAGAGGTATAGTGGTCATCCACCAACTAATGCATTTACAACTCTCCCCCTTGGATGTCCACCATACAATGACATAATGGCCTCATTAAAAACCTTTCTTGGAAAACTCAGTGGGACAAAACCAAGTGAAGGAAAAAAATGTGCAACATTCTTCTAGATCATTGATATGGTGTTGGACGCGCTTATTTTATCTGGTTAAAACCTTGCTAGGAAAAATTAGTGGGACAAAAAACCTAGTCGAAATGAGAAAGAGTACATTGCGCATATGTCTGATGTAGTAAAACTTGGATGTTCCCTTGATCTTCAACAACTTTTAGAATATAAACTTCCGAAGAGCTTTGGTAAAAGAGGTTCACCAGGTTATCTTATGAACGAATTTGTTGACTTCAATCTCTTGACATCTATGGAAGCTATATATTGTGAGAAATTTAATATTATTGTATTTAATATTAATTTTCAATTTGAATGGAAATTAATAAAATCCATTGGGTTAAAGACATGACCTTTTGGTTATTATAGTAGCCCATCTTCAATTGAGGGGTGGTAACTCTTCATATGTGTCTGGAACCCTATTAGAGACCAAGGGATGCATTGTTTGCCTTTTTAGATTAGGATACCATTTTGGAAAGGTATTTCATCATCTATAAATAGAGCAATCCTCCTGCAGTTTTATTCATTCAATTAATTCACTACATACAGACTTCCATATATAAAGAGTTTTAGAGTTTTCATATTCTCAAAGAGAGGTTCCTGTATAATTTGGTTCAAAGTTCCTTGGGAATTGCAGTGCTTCTTTCACAAGGAGGGGAGTCGTATCCTAGGAGGCAAACACTAGTTAACTATAAGCACCAATGTGGGGCGTAATTCGTCTTAAGGTCAGAGTGTCCAACACTTGCCTCGACTCAATTAAGGTTCTTCTATTCCATTCTCCTTCTGTAAAAATATGTTTTGTTTGCAGTAATTATTTATTTATTTTATAGCAACTTAGCACTCATATTTCCAACATATATCACAATTGATGAACCATTCTTTGATTGGAGCAATCCAAGTAGCATTGTCTTCATACATGATCGTCGAAGCATCTGTATTTGAAAAATCCTATTGTAGCAAAATACGGTATTTCTAGACCGTGGATCACTTCATCTTATTCACGAGGAAGAAATGACCATTCCTACTATTTAAAGACTAGAATCATTGTGGTGCTTAATGTATGAGTTTTATCCACATAATGACACTTTAATTAGAGAAAAAGAATCATGTTGGCACAGTGCTCGATCTACTGATCAAGGCAATATTTCAAATGATTTAACTCTTCAGGAATTTCAATAACTTTTCCAATAGATGACATGATATATGTTGCCACTATATCAAATTTGAATTCATAGTACTCACTAAGGGCTCTTTTGGGAGCGATTCTGGATAAGCCAAAATCACTTTTAGGGATAAGTATCTCCCACGTGCTTCTTCGTATAATCATTTTAAGTTATTATGGGGAGAAGCACCTATCATCTGCTTCTCCATAAAATCACTTAAAACCACCTAAAGTGATTATATAAAGAAGTTATTCTCCATAAAAGTGATTTTTGGCATATCTAGAATCACTCTCAAACGAGTCCTAAGGCAATTGTAGCAATTTATATCTATTGGTTATCCTAATAATATTGAGTACATAACTTGAGCTTCAGGTTCTTAGTGTTAATCCTTAATTGAGAATTTCATGGCAGTTTAATTATATCCTTTAAGGGGTTATTTCAGACGATATATCTCAAATATTTCATGAGCTGTTGAAAATTTCCATGAGGCACATGTAGATTACATGAATGTCCGTAAGTCTCGTGACAAAAATAAAAAATAAAAAATTCCAATTCTACATGAGATAAGCTGGCCACATCATGTAAACTAAGTTATTAACAGTTAGACATGGTAATAGAGGTAATAAGAGTGAACTCTAGAATTAATTAGTTGTCACATATGTATGGCTGTTGTTTTAACAACGTCACATACATGGTGAAATTAATTCTCACGTCTCGTTGTTCGTTTAACAACCAAGCAACTCCCAGCTCCTGTCCACTATGTCATTAACTTCTTTTCAACAATCATAAAATATATGTGAACCTGCCATAACCACGCACAAGTAGTTTGCTACCATTTCTTTACCTACCTATCCATGTTCCCCTCCTATAAAAACAAAATTCACATTTTTTGCAGCACAAGATCAAGGCCATCCAATAACTATGGTAGGAAACTCCAAACCCCAAACTCACCATGTTGCCGTTTTGGCCTTTCCCTTCGGTTCCCATGCCGGCCCTCTCCACAGCCTCGTCCTCAGACTAGCTGCGGCGGCCCCGCAGGTGGCCTTCTCGTTCCTGACAACTTCCAAAGCCAACGCTGCCCTCTTCTCCAAGTCACCGTTGAGCCTCCACAATGTGAAGGCTTACAACGTGCCTGAAGGGTTGCCAGAGAACTTCGTGTTCTCTGGCAACCCTGAGGTGGCTATCGGGTTATTCTTGAAGGCGGCGCCTGCGAACTTTAGGGGGAGTTTGAAGGATGCCCAGGCGGCGACGGGGTTGAAGGTTGGTTGTTTGGTATCGGATGCGTTCTTCTGGTTTGTTGGAGATATGGCGGAGGAGATGGAAGTCCCCTGGGTGCCGGTTTGGACGGGTGGACCACGTTCACTGCTGGCTCATGTTGACACAGACTTGATACGCCAAAGGCTTGGAACCAGTGGTAAGGATTCATTTGCTATTTGATAATTAACCAAGGACCCTATACTATTCAACATTTTATGCATTTTATGGTCATTTAACGAATTTTTTATTTTTATTTTTTGGTATAATAAGTCAACGAAATTTGGCCATAGGAAGTTCAATGCATTGTTAATTTAATTATATATATCATATTTATATAAATTTGTATCTTTTCTCATTTTTTGGCATCAATTGTTACTCCAACGAATTTTGACTATTTTCTCCTCATTCTTGTTACTCTAATCTAAAAGATCAACAAGTGTGCTATGCTAGGCATACCACATTTATAAATCATACCGTGTATTATTTTTCTAATAGAGATACGCCCCATTTTATTGATGGGCTCCACCTCTATGAGAGATGAAACATACACAATGTGTGTAAGCCTAGCGTTATTTCTTTATCAACATGAAAAATGGAGGATATAATTTGTACAGTCTAAATAATAAAACTTAATAATTTCATACTATTCCAACGTTTAGTCTAAATAATGAATTTAATAAATTTAACAAGTACTTAAGCAGGTTAACAATTATCTAACAAGTACCTGATGAACTTCACGGTGAACCTAAATCCAATGTTAGATCAGTGTTCCCTTGTATTTTTATTAAATAAGTAGGGCAGTTAACTTGTGGTTGCTTTGGTAGGTGGCACATTAAAAATCCACAGGAGACAGTTTTATTTTCTTTCTTTTTTTGTATTCATTTAGTCCAAAATTAAGTTTAGTTTTTCTGAATTAATTTGCAGCTTATTTTAGTTTTTCTACTGATCATATACATTAGTTGAATATTGATAGCATCATAACATTTATTTTCAGGAGGTGGAAAACAAACCCTCGACTTCCTTCCTGGATTTTCAAGATTTCAGATGGACGACCTACCTGAAGGAATAGTAGGAAAGTTAGAGTCACCCTTAGCAACTCTATTATACAAAATGGGACAAAAGCTGCCTAAAGCGACCGCTGTTGCAATAAACTCTTTTGAAGAAGTAGACCCTGAAGTTGTGAATGTGCTCAAGTCAAGATTCCAGAAGTTCCTCAACGTTGGACCCTTTAGCCTAATACCGTCATCACCATCACCATCACCATCACCGCCGCCATTGCTTAACGATGAAAGTGGTTGTTTAGAGTGGTTGGACACGCAGAAGCCAGCATCAGTGGCATATATTAGCTTTGGAAGTGTGGTGACACCACCACCTCATGAGCTAGCAGCATTTGCGGAAGCATTGATTGAAAGTGGGTTTCCATTTATTTGGTCATTTAGGGGCAACATAGAGGAAATATTGCCCAAGGGGTATGACAAAATGAGCCTGAATGGGAAAATACTTTCATGGGCTCCACAAGTGCAAGTCTTGGGGCATTCTTCAACTGGGGTTTTTGTGACACATTGTGGGTGGAATTCGATTTTGGAGAGCATTGTTGGTGGTGTGCCTATGATTTGCAGGCCATTTTTTGGAGACCAAAATCTTAACATGAGGACGGTAGAGGCTGCATGGGGGATTGGTGTTGGGGTTGAGGGAGGGCTCATCACGAAACCTGCAGCGATTAAGGCCTTGGAACTGGTCTTGAAGCAAAAAGAAGGAGAAGAAATGAGAGAAAAATTAAAGATCCTACAAAATCTTGCCCAACAAGCTGTTGAATGGAATGGAAGCTCCCCACGAGCTTTCAATAGCTTGGTGGAGATTGTCACCAAGTAATATATGTAGTTTGTAATACTCGTTTCAAGGTAGTTTGGGAAGGGGGAGGCCATGACGCATTTCCCCAAACAGTTAAATTGAGGCAACAAATTATGTGCAACATATCCAATTTATTAAGAAAACTAGACCACGGGCTAGGAACGTTATAAAAACAAATTTGTTTTTGTTTGTAATGTTTTTTTTTAGTACAAGTGATAGTCTAAACTGCAAGGGGACGGGGGGTTTCTTGTATACATGCACACAATTAAAATGTCATTGGGGTTCGAACTTGAGACCTCTGTCTACAAATCAAGACCATTTTCCACTCGGCTAGACCTATTGACTTTGTAATGTGTAACACCCCGACTCCAAATTTAATCCCCTATTTAACTTATTTAAGTGAAATTACGAAATTGCCCTTGGGGTATGTGTAATTTGGTCATTTCTTATCTGGAAGAATTTTGGGACCACAAGTGGTATGACGACGTAGGTCGTACTGAGATGAGTCCGTAGACACATAGTGGACTCAAATCGGAGTTGTAACGAGAGAGTTACGATCAAATAAAACTCAGTGGCACAATCGTAATTAATTCAAAAAGGGGGATTTTTGATAAAAGTCAGAAATGCCCTCATTTCTCTCTCTCTCTCCTCCGGCGCGTCTCTCTCTCCTCTCGCGCGACGACTAGAACAGCCGACCACGTTTTGGCCGGCCGTGCTCTCGTCCGGCCACCAAAGTTGACGGGGCCGGTACCAAAATGACCGGGCCGCCATCCTCTTCCTACCCCAGCCAGGCCCTACCGCCAGCCGTCGAGATTTTGCCGGAAAATCGAAGAGAAAAGCCTGGTTTTCTCTCGAAACTTCACCGGCTTCGTTCTCCATCGTCCGGCCGCCATTTTTGGCGATCCAGGTATGGAAATCCATCTATTCCTTGAGCTCTAGCTGATGGTTGGGTAGGATTTCATTGATTTTGAGTGTTGATAGTTAGATTTTCGATCTAGGGTTCGGCCGATTTTGAGATCGCCATTCCGGCCAGTTTCGGTCAGTTTTTAGGGTATGCCCAAGAACAAAAGTGACTTGAAATAGAGTGTTACACCTAGGGTAGGAGTCTTGAGCCGAGATATTGAGATTTTAAGACAATGCTTAATCGCTTTGGACACCCACGCGCTGCCAACGCGTGTGGCGGCGCATGGGCACTGTAGCTCAGGGGCATTTTTGTCCCAATGCAATCCCCTTGATGTCACGAGCGCGTAGGTGTGCTCGGATTCCAATTTGGTTAACGTTTGAGTCTCGAACGGATATCGCCTATTATGCGTTATCAGGGTTCGATAGATTTGGACCTTGGGATGGTCTTAAATTTATTATATGTTGATCTAGGTATTCCTAGGATCGTGTAGGATCCGACGGATTGTAAAACGGAGTCCCGGATACTCCGGAAATGCCAACCATAGGGGTTAGGTTTATAGTAACCGTCCGATCATGCGATCGTTAGCGATCCGACCGTCCGATATCTGGACCAAACTTGCAAGACGTGTGTCCTAAGCCTGGTAGAATCTATAGGAACTTTTGGAACATGATTTGGAGGTCGCAGGGCCCCGCGGGCCCGTTTGACCAAGGTTGGGAAGTTTGACCCTGAGTTGACCGTGAGACTTCCTAGGTAGTGTTACCTTCCTAAGAAGATTAAAATGACTGTAGTGACAGGTCTTGATTGTATGTTGGTTATGTGGGATTAGGATATTAGTTTATGATTCTAAATTAGGGGATTATCGGATGTTAGATTGTTGTTGAGGCTTCTACAATATTAGAAATTAATATATATAGTTATGTGTGTATATAAAGGTGTAAAAAGGAGTTTAGAATGTCTGTTTGAAGTGCTATACGCACTACCCTATGTACCTCCCCGGATATTGATTACACGTAAGTACCACCCTGTGATGTTGAGGTCCCACGTGTCGTAGGTTATCCGGCGTGAGGACAGACCCCATACGTGGCGTTGGTATATCCGGCATATAGAGAGATATGTGATATTGTGTTGAGGTCGAACGTGTCGTAGGAGTAGCCGGCGTGTTGACAGACCCCATACGTGGCGTTGGTATATCCGGCATATAGAGAGATATGTGATATTGTGTTGAGGTCGAACGTGTCGTAGGAGTAGCCGGCGTGTTGACAGACTCCATACGTGGCGCTGGTATATCCTGTATGGGAAGATATGTGATATTGTATTGAGGTCGCACGTGTCGTAGGAGTAGCTGGCGTGTTGACAGACCCCATACGTGGCGTTGGTATATCCGGCGTATGGGGAGATATGTGATATTGTGTTGAGGTCACACGTGTCGTAGGAGTAGCCGGCGTGTTGACAGACCTCATACGTGGCGTTGGTATATCCGGCGTATGGGGAGATATGTGATATTGTGTTGAGGTCACACGTGTTGTAGGAGTAGCCGACGTGTTGACAGACCCTATACGTGGCGTTGGTATATCCAGTGTATGGCGAGATATGTGATATTGTGTTGAGGTCACCCGTGTTGTAGGAGTAGCCCGCGTGTTGATAGACCCCATACGTGGTGTTGGTATATCCGGCGTATAGGAAGATATGTGATATGGTGATTTAAAGTAAAAGGTTTTTGAGGAAGAACTACGTGTGGCTTGATCTCTCAGTAAGGATACGTAGGCAACCTAGGGTTACTAGGTGCAGCCGCGGGTTAAACCTCGGACCTTGTCGATGGTCCTGAAACTCGGATGGAAACGAGGCTTGATTAAATAAATATTTATTATGTTGTTAATTTATGGAGGTGATCGAGTTAGATATTTGGGGGAGTTAGATGATAGTGGATGCATGCTAAAAATTTGGGAAGTTAATTTATGTTATGTGATGGCCGGAGGCCGATCATTTGGATTGCATGAAATTGTAGTGCATGCTGTCGGTTGGGTTATTAAATTGTGAATTTTATGCATGTTGAAATTTTAGGAAATGATCAATTTACAGGGGAGACTCTGCCGAAATTTCGGTAGAAAGTCTCGTACCCTTACTCCTTTTAAGGAAAAGAGGGTACAGTTTCAGAAGTGGGCCTGACATCGGGGTAATGTCGGGAATTCCACAGGATTCGTCTCGAGTTTTGAGAAATTCAGGGCAAGTCCTGTCATAATGCTTTTTTATTTGTTGTCTCCATGTGTGTGTGTGTGTGTGTGTTTTTTTTTTTTTTTTTTTCACTTGAAATCTTTTATAATTTTGTGAGTTAACGACATAAAACCCCGCAAACTCTATTAGGCCTTTTTAAGTTCTGCACGATTTGTTAGACATTTGCAAACTCATGCACAAACTCCTAAAAACCCTCATGCACTGGGTTTGGGTTATGTTAGTTGTTATGTCTTGGCTGATTTTGTATTTGCATTGGGTTTGGGTTATGTAATTGAATGGAAGAATGAAACCCTCTTGCAATCCTTTTGTTATATAATGAATGACAGAATGACCTTTTGGTGCAAATTGTGCTTTCAATTCCCTTTTGTTATGTAATCAATGGCAGAATGAGCTTTTGGTGCAGATTGTGCTTTCAATTCCTATAAAGCAAGTTTTGGTGCAAACTTTACAAATGCCAATGCATAATCAAAAGAATGACATAAAAATACATAATTATATATCAATCCAAAAAATACATAAACATATTTTCTGATGGTGACATAGACGGAGGTATGAGACTGATATGAAAAGTTAACGTTGGGAATGAAAGTGAGAGGAAAAAAATTCATGTAGCAAAGTCTGAATTTCGGGAAACATGTGGTAGTAAGTTGAAATTTAACTACTCTGTATTTCTTTGTACTCTAATTTTCTATTTCGTTTTGGTTTATATTCTTTACTAATAATCATACGTACAGATCTTAGTTATACGTTTTATGGAGCTTATGACCATATTTTATTTGGTCCCCAAAGTTCAGGACGATTGCTATGACTCAAAGTAAAAAAATTATGGCATGTTTGTCTTTTATTATTTTCCTATTTTCTAACCGATTGCAGGTTCTTCATTCATTTATGCATCGAATGATTTTATTTTATATAATATAATATATAAGTATTCCTTTTAATTTATTCCTGTACCATTATTATTATTATTTTTTTGGTATAGAAGATGAATTTTATTCATAGACTGGAACATGTAGTTTACATCCTAATGATTTAAACTAAATGTTAGGTATTAAAATTAAATTTAAGATTCTTATAATATATTTGCTTTAAACAAAACATTTGTCTGTTGTATTTTATCTTTTCCATGAATATTCTTTACTTATAACCTATACATCTATTTATTAATATTGTACATTAGGTATATGAAATATATATCAAACCCATCTTATAACACATGAATCGGTAATCATCACGCCCAAGTATTTGTTAGGAGATCTGTTTCCTCTTAATGGTATAATCATGTCCAACCTGGTTCGCACAAAACTAACCAATTTAACAATTTTAAAAAGGTGAAAAAATAAAATAAAAATAAAACTACCCATTTCCAAACCTGCGAAAACGAAAACACCTCATGTTTGTTACATTTACGTTGTTGTCAGCAGCGAATTAACTTCCTTTTTCTCTCCCACATATATATTTACCGTCACCAACTTCATTAATTACATGCAAAAACTCAAAGAACACGATTAATCAAAATCCAATAATGAACCACAAAGCTTGTACTCAACATGTTGCCGTCTTAGTCTTTCCGTTCGCCTCCCATCCCGGCACTCTTCTCCACTTTATCCGTATTATCTCAGCCATGGCTCCTGACGTGAAGTTCTCATTCTTGAGCCTTGCTAAATCCAATAGCTCCCTCTTCACAGAATCCAACAGCAAGGGGTTTGAAAATATTAAGCCTTACAACGTATGGGATGGCTTGCCAGGGGGCTATGGTTTCTCTGGGAACCCTCTGGAGCCAATTGATCTCTTTCTTAAGGTGGCACCGGGCAGCTTTAAGAAAGTTATCGAAGAGGCAGAGGCTGAGATTGGCCAGAAGGTGGGCTGCTTGATATCAGATGCGTTTCTTTGGTTTGCAGGAGAGATGGCAGAAGAAATGCAGGTCCCTTGGGTGCCCTTATGGGCTTCGGGACAACGCTCTCTGCTTGCTCATGTTGCTACCGATGTAATTAGAGAAAAAGCGGGAGCTAGTGGTAAGAAATAATTTTCTTAGTCGAATATTTCAATCAAGTTTCA